CCAACCCTCTTTTATCACCGATCAAAGTCCGGCGATCCACCAGCCGAAACCATTCCGCCTCGCCCGCCGTCCTTGGGTGGGAGGGGCAGTAGAGGTGTGCATAGTCCCCGAGCTCGAAAGGGCGGATCTCCGAGACAGCGGCCAACCATCTCCAAATATAGGCATAGAAAGGGCGCCTTTGTTTTTCCCTCCCCGCGCGCGCCGGGTCACCTGGGCGCCGCTCTGTGGAACCCACACCCACGGGGTTTCCGTGCGCGGCGGCTCTAGCCCGGCCCTGCTCTGCCCGAAACGAATGACGCGGATGCCTCGACGGAGGGAGGGAGGCGGCCCGCGCTGACGAACAGATTCCGACAAACGGTGCAAAGAGGCGACGTTTTGCTTCGGGCGAGGGATGATTGTGTAGCGAAGGTTGGGAAAGGGGAGAGGCAGGAAACGTTTTCATTCATTCCGATCGCAGGAAGCGAAAGGCCTTCGTTGGCCCGGCTTTTGGCACGTGCGAAGAATTTTCTGACGGATCGAGGATCAAAACCGAGAGCAGAGAAGAGGGGGCCTTGCCTGCTAACTCGAGCCTTTTGAAAACCGCTGATGGGGACGGGGAGCTCGAAAGAGGGGGAAACGCACGTCAAAGCGGACGGCGTTGAGTGAAATGAACCCTTGATTTGCAATTAACGGGGAAGGCAGCTGGCTACGATTAAATTCACAGCCAAGTACCTGCATGAAAGCGGCCCTGAAACGTTTACGCCTTTCAAAAGAAACTCGCATCCTGGTAGCCAGCATCGCCTCGCCCTGCCGTGTGTCATGTGTTCAAGGCAGGAAAGTGCCCCCCCCCCCCCTTCGTCAGCGCTTGTTCGCGCCGCCCCCCCCCCCCCCCCTTTCAAACCCAGCCTTCCGCGGCGAGCGGTCTCCGCTGCTAATCTCTCCTTCCCCCTCCCTACTTTGCTGCATTTGAGTGATGTGACGGAGATCTATGAATCTCGTATCGCTCCCAGTATCACTTCTAAGGTTTGTCGGTCTTGGCGAGAGCCGATCGCCTTTATCCCGTCGCCCTGCCTGGGCTCTGTCGAAAACCAGCAGCCTTCTCAAAAGGCACCATCCGGGGAGCAGCGATGCTTAGCAAGCGGGGTGCATGCAACCTAACGCTGACCGCTGCCGGGGCTGCTGCTGCTGCTGCTGCAGATGCATGCCCTGGCTAACCCTGGTTCTGCCCCCGCAACCCCACCCCGATGCCTTTTGGGTGGGGCACAGACATGGCGAACGGGAACCATTTCTCTTGGTTGGCAGCAGCTCCGAGGGACGCGGCAGCGATGTGTCTCAGGAGCGCAATCTTGGCTCCTCCAGAGGAGACACGCCCTCTCTTTCAGCACAAAAGAATCCGAGAGGAATGCAAATGACCGGAGGGGAAACCTTGTGCTTTCTAGACGGCTGTTGCAGGAAATAACCGGGTCTTCCGCTCTCAAGCTTGGAGCCCCTTAACGTGCCTGGCTTATTAAATCGGAGCAGCTTTGAGAGCTGGGTTCCCGACTAGCCTTAGGCCTTTTTCTGGAGGGTTCAAAGGTGTGTTTTGACAAGCCAGTGTGGGCTACCTTTTTGCCTTCCTATAGTATAATTGTTTGACTGACCATCTGCCAAAGCATCAATTGTTGTAAAGCATAACTGGAGAAAGGAAAGGCCAAAATGGAGGAGAGAAACAGGTGAAATTTTGATGAGAGGTATGAAAAAAGAGTCTCAATACACTTTGGAACAGAGATGCCGCATTGGATTTGTGAATAATTCATTTAAACGGCCAGAAAATATTAAAAATAAACAGGCCAACAGTCAGTTGGTGCCTCATCTGAACTTCACTCATAAAGATATAATGCTACCCACAAACAAATCCCTTGCAGGATTCTTAAATTCTTTGGTCTCTTTCAAAACTGTTAGTGATATAACTCTTCCCCTCTGAAGATAGTTCCATAAATGTCATAGAAATGTCAGCAAAACCACACAAAATGCCACTTAAGTGGAAGTTTTGCAGATTCTCAAGAATTCAGAGCATTTTTCCCCTCTTACCTTTAAAAGCACGTGACTATCCAATTCCTTAAACATTCAATTTCTAATTTGAATAATTCAAATGCTGTATTAAGGAGTAAGGAATGACTGAATGAACCTGAGCTGAATGGTGGTGTTTCTAGTTTAGCATTCTCTCCAGGGCTCCTGGAATTGATATATCCTGGACAATAAACCCGTATAAGGAAACAAACCTAAATACAAGCATGTTGGCTCTACTGGGTGGAGCCAAGTTGCTTTAACTAGTGATCAGCAATAATGGGGATTTCTCCATCTCTTCATATATTTCAGTTCAATTCAATTCTTAACTTTTTGAAATCTTGTGAATATACATTAGGAATTGAAGAATAGAAACCAACACAATTATTACAGTATTTCCTCCTTGTGATGAATCTGATTTCTATGATTCAGTGATTGGTTTTATTTGGAGGGGAGGGGAGAATGTTGGAATTCAGCTATCACTTGAATTGGTAAAGACCTTTCCAATTTAGGAAAACTAAGTAAGTTATGATTTTTATGGGAAGGACAACCTTAGTCATCTGTTTATAGGTGAGGTCTAGGTTATTTTTCTAGGTGTGTACATAGAACAGGGATGGGCAGAGACTACTGGTTTTACCTATGTTTGGCAGGTTACGTTTGCAAGCAACACTGCAGCTTATGTGGGTTAGAAAAAGCATTTTGTCTCCAGTGCATTATGGCCGATTCTCAGTTAAGTAGTATGGATAAAAGAAAACAAATAATTGGAAAGTTTTTAATAGTGTATCTTTCTCACCTCACATATACATTTTCTTTCACACAGATGAAACGATGGTGAAGTATATTCATTTCTAAAGCTTTGACAATATTAGGCAGAATTCAGCAGGACAAAATACATTGATAATGTAAAAATTCTAAATTCTGAAGTCATAGCCAAGGGAACAGCAATGCTTTTCTTTGGCAGACTATCCACTTACTAATATGTCATGTAAATAGAGTATGTATAGGATCACAAGAACCTCTTGTTCATTATGATTGTGTCTTCTAAGCTACCTTGAATTTGCTTTATGTCAATATTTTAAAATAATTAAGTGTGCTTCCTGAAAAGATAGCTCCAAAGACATTGGATTTTGTTTGAATTTGAACAATAAATTCTGTAATTACATCTACAGCCTTTTATTTAATCCTTCGAAACAAAGATGAAAACTTGTTTTTTGTGTTGTTCAGATCCTCCAGTGTTATGAACCAAAGTTTGCTTACTTTTTTTTTATACATATATTTATTCATTGTTCCTCCTACAATCATATCTTTAAACAGTTTATAATTAAGTAAAAAAAATGTTAATATCTTTAAATAGTTTGGGGAAAAGAATATTCAAATTGATCTAGGGAAGACCTAGGTAAAGAGATAGTAAGTACTCCAACTGTTATCTAAAAGATGTAATAGTAGGTACCTCATAATTTGAGGGGAAAAAGCATTCCAGAATGCAGGCAACACAATAGGGAAAACCCACCCATGAAAACCCACTGCGTAATGTGGTCTGCCAATCTTACACAGAGGACACAACCAGCTTTTAATATACCTAAAGATACTTAAACATTGGCCTTACTTGCATATGGCATAAACCATGATTCTTGGGTAAAATATCCTCTATATCTAATTTACAGGACTAAACTCTTAAATGTTGGATATTAACCATTTATGTCATGCACAATCTTTTCCCATTTTTTCACCACCTGGCAGATACAAGTTTCCTGTTTTGCTTTGTAATCACTTTAGGGTCTATCTATTCAGTATATGTTATTATTTCTTTTGCCTGGAGAAAATAATTTCTTTGGCATCTTTGTGTTCCTTGAAGGTTCCTCTCCTATATTTCCTAAATAATTAAAACATTCTGAATATTAGCACATAACTGTTTGTTTGAACAGAAAAAACACTCTGCTGTGACCATAGGTACAAGAATCTTGCTGCCCTCATTCATGTAAGTCATCTAGTAAGGCAGTCTTCCCCAACTTGATGATCAAGATTTAAGCTAGAGTTTCTATCATCTCCAATAGCATGGTGTTTGACTGTATCACTGAGAGATCATGGGAATTATAATCCAGTACAAATGGAGGACCCCACATTATGGAAAACAGTAAAATGGGTCATTCACTAGTGTGAATGCAGTGTGTGAAGTATTGTACCTCAAATTTGGCAATAGGTGGACCAAGGAGGCCATTTCAACCAATGAAGCAGCAGCTTTTTTTTAACACAGGAGTGGGCCCAGAGAAAAATGGCATTGCATAAAAAAAGGACAAAGGTCTTGTCCTTGATGGTTGTGAAACAAATGCAGTGGCAGTTATTTTTTGGCATTTAGAGGATTTAATAGTAATTTTTCAACTGTTAGTTCCTTGGCTAGATTAAAAATCTCCCTGCTTTGAGTCTCAGGCGTTGAACTGCTCCACTAAAAGCTACAAAACCAACTGCCACATGAGTACTTACTTCTCCTTCATGATAGCCCAAAACTATATTCCAAAAGCATTCACCTCAAATTAAGATTCATGTGTGATCTTGGTTCCCCTGCAGATACCCTGCATTTGTGTGTTTTTCCGTGCGTTTAATATATCTGCTGGCACTGCAGTTCCCTCATTGTGTGTGGCCAGTAGCCAGGCCACAGGAAGCCTCAGGACCCCAAATGCAATAATATAGATAGGCGTTTGGCAAACAGGTACACTCCAGATGTTTTATACGCCCATCACCTCCAGAAAGCGGGGTCGGGGCAAAGGATAGTGGGAAATCAAACTAGAAACATCTGGGGGGACACCACGCTACCTACCCCTGAAGTACTGAATCTCCGGGTACCCCAATATACCCCCCTTAACAAGCTCGAGAATGATTCAGTGACTCCTGAACGTCTGTTTCCATCCTAGGCACAAAGCTGACTTTCTCTATTGGGGTGCCCCTACCCCGAACCCCTTTGGCGCCGCCTTCCTCACCTGCAAATGGAGCCCAACAAGGGGCTGCGGCGATGGAGGGTCTCCCGCAAAGGGGAGCGCCCCTCCCCCCCCCACTCTTCCCGCGGCTCATCCAGATTCCGGGGTTCAGAGAGGCGTTGCCAAACCGCCTTCGTCTGCCCCACGTGGCCCGGGCCCCACCAGCCAATGGGAACTCGCACTTCTGAAAGATCTCCATATATGGCGATGTTCTCAGCCGGCGCGAGGGGGCCGGCTCCCCCTGGGTATAAAAGGGGCGGGCTGGCGTTGGAACGGTCTCACTCAGCCGGCGGCAGCGGATCTAGCAGCAGTAGGCAGCAGCTCGACTCTTTATTTTTTTTCCCTTCTGAAACTTCCTGCCGTTTTAACAGGTAGGTGTGATCATCTAGCTGCCATCCCCGGGGACCTTCGGCGTCGGACTTGCTTTTTTCCAAACTTTTAAATCGCTGGGGAGGAAGGAAGCGCAATTTATTGATTAAAAAACGACCTTGGATATAGATCGGGTTGCCGTGGCGGAGAGCCGTTAAAAGGTTCCGCGAGCCGTTTTCTTGAGGGGTGGGGTGGGGGAAGGAGGAGGAGGAGGCGGCGGCAGAAACGTTCTTTGGGGGGACTCGGCGCGAGCAACCGGTTCGTGGGCGTAACGGTTCCCTGAATGGGGTGAGCGGGAGGGGGCGGAGTTGTTTGCCTGGTAACAGCCGCTCCGATGCGGTTGGCTGGTTTTGCTCGTTGACGTCATCAGGCGGGAAGTGAGGGTGGGGAGGGGGAAAAAAACCTATTCTGCAAAGAATAACGTGGGGCGAGAGAAGCAAGGTCGGTAGTTTTTCGAGGGAGGACTTGTGAGGGAAAACAATGCTAGGAAAAATGAGGCGTCTTCATTAGGGAGATCAAAGAACGGCGGTGGTAGGTGGTTTTGGGAAGGCGGGGTTAGGGTTTGAATGGCGTTCCTGAAGAAGCTGGGCGTCTTGGTCAGCATTAAATTGCGCACGCCAGGCGGATAAATTTCCATACCTGTAGGAAGCAATGCACGACAAGTTTTTTAAATATTTTCTTTTTAATTTGGCAGAAGATAGGATAACGTGAAATTGTGGATGGTCTTGATTAAGGTGTAAGCTAGGATTTGGGTTTTGTGGGAGCCATGTCAGCGCTGAAGGTGGCTTGTCTTTCAGGTATAGGATGCCCTGATGGCATATTTGGTGGAATCCTAAGTAGGGAGCAATGGTATAATGGAAGCTTTTCACAGTATGGAGTAAATTTAGGGAAGGGGAAAGAGGGGCAGCCTTTTGTGTGGGAGCAGAAAGCTGCCTCAGTATATGCACTGGATTGGTGTTGGGGAATACTTAATTCAAAACTTTGGAAGAGTTCTTCTGTAGTAGATTAAAACAGCCTTCTGCCTGCTGAAAAAACACTTCCCATTGAAAGCCTGTATGATACAAATAGATAAGCATAGGGGGGACTGTGGTGCTTTTTGGTGTGGCCTTGCTCAGCAGAGGGAGTTGGGACTTGCTGATTCTGCAGTGCAAGTTAAATGAAGTAAAGTGTTACACCATGGTGAAACTCGTAAGTGGGTGGGGTTCCAGACACAAAGGCATTCAGAGCAGCCTCTAGTGGTAAAAAAGAGGTAGTGTCAGATATAAGCACTGATGATGTAAGATTGTTGCTGCAGGGATGGAACAAATCAGGGTTGCTAAACATTTTTTTTTTTATTGAAAGCAGATCTGCAAAATGGAAGAAGAAATTGCAGCACTTGTCATTGACAATGGTTCTGGAATGTGCAAAGCAGGCTTTGCTGGAGATGATGCTCCTCGGGCTGTGTTTCCTTCAATTGTTGGGCGCCCTCGCCACCAGGTAAGATACCAAAATAATGAAGATATTATGTTTATTGAAAGCTGGAGCTTGCCTTCTCTTCATAATGTGCTAATTTGTCTCCTTTTTTCAGGGTGTCATGGTTGGTATGGGACAGAAAGACAGTTATGTGGGAGATGAGGCCCAAAGCAAGAGAGGCATCCTGACCCTGAAGTATCCTATTGAACATGGAATTGTCACCAACTGGGATGATATGGAGAAAATTTGGCATCATACTTTCTACAATGAGCTTCGTGTTGCCCCTGAAGAACACCCTGTACTGCTTACAGAAGCTCCTTTGAACCCTAAGGCCAACAGAGAGAAAATGACACAGGTACAGCATTGGTGCATCTTTTGCATGTATGATTTCCATTCATTCCATCGTTTCTTTCAGATTACAACTTCTCTATTTTTGGTTATTTTCAGGGTTCTGTACTCTTCTGGCATTTCCTTCCTTCAAGTCTCTCAGGTTTCAGTTGTATTTCTGCTTGCTTTCTTTTGGTTTTTCCTCACATCAAATACTTTGCATGTCAGCATGGGTGTGCATTAGTGAGCAAAACTTCATTATTTAATAATTGCTTTCTTTTGTTTTAGATCATGTTTGAGACATTCAACACTCCAGCCATGTATGTGGCCATCCAGGCTGTATTGTCCCTGTATGCTTCTGGTCGTACCACTGGTATTGTAATGGACTCTGGTGATGGTGTCACACACACTGTGCCCATCTATGAGGGCTATGCTCTCCCTCATGCCATCTTGCGACTTGATTTGGCTGGCCGTGACCTCACAGACTACCTCATGAAGATTCTGACAGAAAGAGGCTACAGCTTTACTACCACAGCTGAAAGGGAAATTGTGCGTGACATCAAGGAGAAGTTATGTTATGTTGCCTTGGACTTCGAGCAGGAGATGGCTACTGCTGCTTCCTCTTCCTCCTTGGAAAAGAGCTATGAATTGCCTGATGGCCAGGTGATCACAATTGGAAATGAGAGATTTAGGTGTCCTGAAGCCCTTTTCCAGCCTTCTTTCTTAGGTAAGCTAATAGAAACAATCTCCAAAAGAAATGTATGGTTAATCACTAGAATAAATGAACAAATTGAGTTAAAAGTGGTACAAGTGCAATCATGGGTGTTTTCTTCTAGGTATGGAGTCCTGTGGCATTCATGAGACCACTTTCAATTCTATCATGAAGTGTGATGTGGATATCAGAAAGGACCTATATGCCAACACAGTATTGTCTGGTGGTACCACAATGTATCCTGGAATTGCAGACAGAATGCAGAAGGAGATCACAGCACTGGCTCCCAGCACAATGAAGATCAAGGTGAGGTTAACAACTATTGTAATGGCTAGGGCGGGTTCTTGGTGATATTTTTTTCTAAAACTTAACAGCTTTTTTTTAAAAAAATAAAGGCAGAAAACTGGTGAAATTCCCTTTTAACTCATCTATCTTCTATTCCAGATTATTGCTCCTCCTGAGCGCAAATACTCTGTCTGGATTGGTGGATCCATTCTTGCGTCCCTCTCTACCTTCCAGCAGATGTGGATCAGCAAGCAAGAATATGATGAATCTGGCCCATCTATTGTTCACCGTAAATGCTTCTAAAAGGACTATGGCAAATGTGCAGTTTTTACTGCATTTAAGTTTTTTCACCAGTATAAATTTGCCTGGGCAAATATATACACCTCATGCTAGCCTCATGAAACTGGAATAAGCCTTCTCTTCAAACATTTGTCATTGGGAAGTTGTCTCCAATAACCTTGTTGAGGATAGCTTCCTGTTGCTGATAAGACCCTGAACTAAAGTTCCCTTTGTACATAGCAGTATAACTACCCTATACACATCTGGCCTAGGACACAGTACAGATAGTTTTGACGAACATAAGGTTTAACTGTCTGGGATAGTAGTCTCAGTGTAACCAGTTATGTTGCAATGGAGTCTGAGCCTAGATTTGTACAGGGTAGCAAAAGACCAGACTTCACTACACAAAGCGCTAAGAATTCCAGGTCTATTGCTGAGGCTGGCAAGAGCTTGTGAAAAGGATGGCCATTTTTGTCTTGCCACTGTTCCTAACAGGATTGGAAGTGTATTGTGTCCAAGCCTTATGAACCTGTTTTTCTTTCTTTGCCCACCTTTGTCCCACTGGGCAAAACATTGTTCAACTTGAGTTGCTCCAATGTTGGCATTGACACCTGTAAATTTAATCATCAGGTTTAATTTATGTAAGATATTTGTACGTTGCCTTAATGTTGTCATATGACAGTAGAAAACCAAAATTTGTAAGTCATCCTGAAGTTGAGAATTGTAATGCCCAACACTTCATTGTGAAAGGAAAATAAAAGCGCTGCAGTAAATGAAAATGTGTGCATTGTCTTCAGGGAGATTATTTACTATACTTGTTTTCACTTAATTTGGTAAATTGCATGCAATGCTTCTGGTATTTGGTAAGTCACAAAATTTGCAACTAGCAATGTATCCATCACTGCTGCAATTAAATTTTGTTCCCATTGCCTTTCCAGCATTACTTAAATACCACGAATCTATCTGAAATATACTAGTGTATGGAGAACATGAAATGTAGGCAAAATAACAAAAAAGGGTGTTTAGTATATAAGGTGCTATCCCTCAAGCCTTGCAAAACATTTCAGATAATTCATTAAATTGACTGGAAAGATTTTGAAAAGTCAGGCTAATGTTTGATGGCTTCTACCATTAGGACTCATGATCACTTTTTTGCAAAAAGTTTTTTGTTTATTCACGATATCCTTTCAGTGCTAAGGTGAATGAAGAGTTTCATCCATAAAAAGTTGGATTACTTGGAGAAGCTCCATGCTATTAAATGCTTCACTGATCAAAGAAGTTGATACAGACTTCCAGAACGTAGATAACTGATTTCATTCATGTTTTCTCAGATGATTAGTTCCCTAATTGTAACTACATTTTTCAGAGGCCAGATGTATCAATTGGATTAGGGTAAGAATTATTCTGGACAATAGAATATTGTGTGAAACTTAAATAGCTAAAAGTAAATTAGCTTTATTGGAGTCACCTGCAACATAAGTGCCAGATCATTGGCTTCACAACAGTTCAATTTCAAAACTTTTTGTCTTAAAATAGTTATGTAAATAAGTAACATCTATTGGATTTTGTAGATCCCCAATGACCTAAAGCTAAATTTACAGGATATGTAATTCCAGCTTTGAGAAATTAGCTCCATATAAATCACTTAATATGCTTTAAAAGGAAGCCATTCAAATA